TCTCTCTCTCTCTCTCCCTCCCCACATCCCCGATATCTCTCATACAATCAAATGTGCATTCACGCATTTATACTTTCAAAGCAATTATGCCACATTGGACATGTTCATAACTGAAAAATATCCATTCTGTAGAAAGCTGAAAAGGATTACTTTAACATTGTTTAAACACACTCTCCCCTTCCAACACAACAGACTGACGATTGCCCGGAGGCCAAGAAGCAAATAGACCGATTGATTTCATTGCAGTCTTCTCACATAAATGACATTTGCCAAACTTTCAACAATAAACTCCTGATTAAGTTTGATGCTTAAAAAAATATAATCCATCAACCAAAACATAATAACGCAACAACAAAAACATGAATTCAGCTGCTCAGTTGTCTTGTTTTGTTCTTCATGCCCGTCTAATTGGCTGCTTGAGATGAACTGATTATGATGGCATTTAGCAAGACATCGGTTAATGAACGCTCTTTACTATGGTTGCAGCACCCATTTCTTCTCCAGAGAGTTTCTAATCCGGACCAACTCTAATAAGCCTTTCAATTCGCAACGACGCGCTAATGGTTATGCCCTTAGGGTATTGGATTTGCTATTTGTGCTGCTCATATCATCGGAGTTTCGTTCTTTATCTGTTTACTCAAGGAATGGTAAATGGCATTGTCGACGGTCTTCAAGTATTCACTTATCCCACTTCTCTCTTCTGTCAACCCCGTTCTCTTTCAATCTATTTTTGTTGTTGCTTTAATCATATTCTTTAACACAAGATAAACTAGATATAATTTTTTTTAAATTCTGGCGCAAGAAAGGCATTACAGTGTACAGGATGATCCAAAAATAAACAAACTATACAACTTCGTTTGTAAATATTTTCCTCCACACTTTATTTTGCATTTCAAATTTGTACACAAGATTTGTAAGTTAAGAGAAATTTGTCTGATATTCATTTTAGATAATTCCACAAAACAGAATTATTTTGCTCTACATAACGCAAAAAAACCAAACAACAACAACCACAACCCATTTTCAGCTATCTCCCCATTTTTGTAGTATGACGCACGAACTAGTTCGCATTAGGCCTACCATTAAAAGTCCCAACGATCACGCAATTATTATATTTATTGCAAGCTACAGTAGTCTAATAGGCCGACAGAAGTTTGAAGACAGTTTCCAAGAAAAGATAAGGTACATCTTTATTGTCCTGATCCAGGTGCATTGGTTTGGTGTTTCACCACGTGTACGCACACACACACACACACACACACACACACACACACA